AAATGGAAGGATATCCCATGTTCATGGGTTGGAAGAATTAACATCATCAAAATGTCCATGTTACCCAAAGCAATCTACACATTCAATGCAATTCCTATCAAAATACCAATGACTTTCTTCACAGAAATAGAAAAAAAGATCTTAAAACTTGTATGGAACCACAAAAGACTCTGTATAGCTAAAGCAATCTTGAACAAAATTGGAGGCATCATACTTCATGATTTCAAAATATACTATCAGGCTGTAGTAACCACAATAATGTGGTACTGGCATAAAAACAAACAAGTTGACCAAAGGAATGGAATAGAGTGCCCTGAAATAAATCCATACACTTATAGCAAATTGACTTTTTTTTTCTTTTTGGCTCCCCGCTGGTAAGGGGATCTGCCCACAACCTTGGTGTTCCCAGCATCACGCTCTCCCATGTGAGCTAACCAGCCAGACCCAGCTCATTGATTTTTGACAAAGGTGCCAAAAATATACAATGGGGAAAGGACAGCCTCTTCAACAAATGGTGCTAGGAAAATTGGATATCCACACACAGAAGATTGAAACTAGACACCTCTCACCATAGACAAAAATCAAATCAAAATGGATTAAAGACCTAAGTTTAAGACTCAAAACTATGAAACTACTAGAAGAAAACACAGGAGATATTACACAAAATGGGAGTGGGCAGAGGTTTTTTGAATAAGACCACAAATATGCAGGCAACTAAAGCAAAAATACACAAATGGGACTACATCAAACGAAAAAGCTTCTGCACAGCAAGCACACTATCAACAAAGTGAAGCAACAACCTACAGAATGGAAGAAAGTGTTCACAACCTACACATCAGGCAAGGGGCTAATACCCGGAAAATACAAGGAACTTAAATGACTCAACAGAAAGAAAAAAAAAAGACAAAAAACGCCCCCAAATAGCTCAGTTAAAAAATGGGCAAAGGCCCTGAACAGACATTTCCCAAAAGAAGACATATGAATGGCCAACAGGCATGCGAAAAATGCTTAAAATCACTAAACGTCAGAGAAAAGCAAATTAAAACCACAATGAGATATCTTCTTACTCCAGTTAGAATGGCTATTATCAAGACAAAAAATAACAAATACTGGTGAGGATGTGGAGAAAAAGGAACTCTTCCACATTGCTGGTGGGTGTGTAGATTGGTACAGCCACTGTGGAAGACAGTATGAAGGTTCCTCAGAGAACTAAAAATAGATCTATCTTTTTTTTTTTTTTTTTTTTTCTCTTGTCTTTTTCCGTGTCCGGCAACGGATTGCAACCCTCAGTGTTGCCCCTGTACCGGACCGGGGACTGGCAACGGGATTGCAACCCTCGGTGTTGCTCCCACGCCTCGCTCAGCCAGTGAGCGGGAACCGGTCTGTATGTGGGATCCGAACCCTCGGGCGGGAGCGCCGCCGCGCTTCCCAAGTGGCGCAACCGGGCCGGCCCTAAAAATAGATCTATCTTACAACCCAGCTATCTCACTGTGGAGTATATACCCAAAGGAAATGAAATCAATATATCAAAGACGTGTGCACTCCCACGTTCACTGCAGCACTATTCATAGTAGCCAAGAGATGGAATCAATGTAAATGTCCATCAACAGATGAATGGATAAAAAATTGTGGTATATATGCACAATGGAATACTATTTTTTAAAAATGATATCCTATCATTTTCAGCACCATGGATGGAACTGGAAACCATCATGTTAAGTGAAGTAAGTCAGGCCACAGAAAGACAAATACCACATGATATCAATTATATGTGGAAGCTTGAAAAAAAAAAAGTGGTGCTCATAGAAGTAGAGTAGAATAATGGTTACCAGAGGTGGGTGGTGGGGGAGGCAGGAGGAGGAAAAGTGGTGGACTGATGGATATAAAACTCTGCTATCCACCTTAAGTGAATCATTGTGCAGTACATGCATGTATTGAAACAACATGCTATACCCCACAAATATGTACAAATAAATGTTAAAATAAAAAATATCTGATAACTAAAAAAAAAAAAGTTAAGCTTCAAGACAGAAGATATTTGTAGTAGGTTGAACCATATACCTGCAGAAAATATTTGTAGGTTGAACTATATAAAACAGCAATTTCATGCGTTCGAACTAATAATAATGGCTACCTCTAGATCTGCCTCATGCTGACCTTCGTGCTCTATTTCCCTTCCAGCTGACTGGGCTAAATTCAAGCAATGCAACCTTAGAAGCCATGTGCTAAGGATAGCAGGGTCTCCAGTAGCCCTGGGTCTCTGAATGACTGCATGGAACAGAATGGCTGCTGACCTGAACATGTGCTCAGGACTGTTATATGAGAATGAAATAAGCTCATCCCTATGCCATTATGTTTGTCAAGTTTATTTGTTACCATAGCCTAGCTAACCCTAATTAACATAAATACATACACATTTTTAAAAAACTTCTGAAATCAACAAGAAAAAGACCAACAACCTACTAGAAAAATGGACAAAGGATGTGAACAGGGAATTCACAGGAGAGGAAATACAAATAGTATTCAGAGATATGAAAAGGTGCTCAAACTCATTAATAATCAGGAAAATAAAAACAAAGGAGAGGGATTTGCCAAAGGAAATAATTCAAGAACATTTTCTAGGACTGAAAGACAATAGTTTCCTGTTAAAATGCTCACCAAAGTCTAGCACATGAAAGAGGAAAAAACCTGGGGTCCTGGTAGGAAACAGGACACATTCAAATGGGGTAACTGAAGAGAGAGGCTTTTAAAAAACATTTGGCAGGGTAAGAAGAACCGGCAAGGTGTGATAAGGCATCTTGGGCTGCCAACCATGGGCAGCTATCACCACTCCTACGTCTGAAGGGCAAGGGTTGGGCATGGTCACTGGAACCTGGAGAGACCAGTAGCTGTAGGACAGGGATGGCAATCACTAGCAACTCAACCCCACAGAGAGGAAACTGAGAGAATAAGAACCCTGACCTTGGTCTCCTGCCCTCTAATCCATGTTCTGAGCCCCAAGAGGCTGGCCTTTATGGACAGCAGTGATGGGCTCTCCTGCTGATGCCACTCATCGGCTAAACCCAACTGCAAGCCAGAAGGCGAGAGATCCCATTGTTGCTGCCCATAAAGGCCAGCCTCTTGGCTGAGAGCATGGTGGGAAAAGTGTGGAGAGTATATCTACACCAGCAATATCCTTCAAACATATCAAGGTGCATAACTGTGAAATTTCTAAACACCAGTGATAAAGAGAGGATCTTATAAGTTTCGAGAGATAAAAATCTGGTTACCGGGCCGGCCCGGTGGCGCACTGGATAGTGCGCCGCTTGGGAAGCGCGGCGGCGCTCCCGTCCGAGGGTTCGGATCCCACATACAGACCGGTCCCCGCTCACGGGCTGAGCGAGGCGCGGGAGCCGCGCCGAGGGTT